CTGTCATGATTTTTCATTAGAGTGATTAATAGATACGTAATAAAGTAATAAACTAAATTGTGTAGTATACTGAAAGGGGATAAAACTATGGAGAAAAGCGGGATGTATGGCCTACAAGTGTGGGGAGCAGTTTCAAACAAATGGTCAAGGAAGACCTCAACAAGAAAAAATGTGATATGGGGAGGTTCCCACACACCAAGCAGATGAAGCTCACGTTTCTAATCAAAGAGAAAATTGGAGAAAAACACTGTCAACTAGTTTTCACTGTGTTCCTGCCATCCATCCGTTCCTCCAAAGTACAAAAGAAGTGAGGATTTCATATGATGGCCACATATACTATTTTTAAACTTTAATCATCAAGGCTTACAACCTTATTTTCCTACAGAAAAATAAGTTACCACGGGCCCTGCTTTTGTCTCTTGGAATTTCCATCTTTTTTGCCAGAAAGCGGCATCTGTATAAATCTCCCTGCTTCTGACAACTCTGACTTCTTTGATAAACTACCCATGTGTGTGGGGAGGGACAGAAAGATGGAAGAAGCAAATGGAGAAATGAGTTTTCCCCTCTTCAGATTAATGTATATGAAGTATACATCTGACACTTCATCAGCACTCCCGGCTGGTGTCCCAGCAGGCAGATACTGGCTGAGCATGGATTCTGCCAGCTACCAGGCTACTTAGGATGAATTGGCAACATGCCATTTATCTGAAATGCCCAATGTGTCTGGGAGAGGGAGCACAACGACATTTAGCATTGCCAAGGAAAACTAGATACTTCAGGCTAGGAATTAATCTCCTCCTTGAGAAGGTAGTTAGCATTACCCTCAAGCTTGCCTATGGCATTCAAATCACTATAGGTCATGCATTTACTAAAATTCATACCTACTAAACGATGAGGCCTTCATTTATATCTTATTAACATATGAATACCTCTCAGGTTGAGAGTCTGTACTTTTCTGAAATGTTTGTTGGCGTGTTGAACAGGAAATTCTGTTTTGTCAAGTGTAACACTGTCATGTGGACATTTTGATTCCTGTTTTTCCAATTTTTCCACACGTGAAGACACATACTGCTTCAGATTAGTTCTTCAATGAGCCAACAGAACATTTAAATCAACGTGACCACATCATGACTGCTTACAAGCGTATTAATTGAATTTCCTTGAATGTGGACAGTGATCCTCTCTTCACTATTTTGTCACATTTTTTGAGCGGCCAATGTGGAACTACACGAGATTGGCTCATTACATGGACTTCACGGCTAATCACGAATTTAAGATACACACAGAACAAAAACAAAGAGTTTTTAGATGGATAGTCTTAATAGGCCACCCATTACAGCACAGAGAATCACATCATCACTTTTGCCTTGCAAGTAGAGTCATCTGTCACTTTGTAGGAATAATTATTCGTTCCATCAACAATATTTATTGAATACCTCCTTTGTGCAAGGAGTTGTGCCAGGGGCAGTGAGGAGGACAAAGTCAGAGCAGACAGGAATTCTTCCCTCAAGGAGCTTGCAGTCTAGCAGAGGATATAAAGCACCAATACAAAGAACTACAACAAGTGTGCTCCAGGATAAACACTGTCAGGAGGAAGGGTGGACTTACAGTTCTAAGACAGGGGCAATGGAGTTGAGAATAGTGGCCTGGAGAGAGGATCAGAGTGAAGCACTTTCTATGGTTCAGTGCACTACGTGACACATCACTTGTTTAGAAGGAAAAGAAAAAAAAGGAGAATTTCTAAGAGGGCATTTCCATCTCTCAACCATCATTCTCTATCACTATAGAGATAGTTAATTGTAACCAGTAAGATAATTTAGATGTAATCCAATCCAAGAACCATGAAACAGATAAATGGTCTGCAAAGGGTACCAAAAGCAGAAAAAGTCATTAGCCTGCGCTGGGCAACATATTGAAATAAGCGATATGGGCCAGAAAGCTGGGCAGATAGCAGAACCATGAGGAAATCAAGATGGTGCTCCGCCTGGCAGCTCTCTTCCAGTGGCTATGGCTCTTACTAGGAGAGAACGGGGCGGGGGGGCCAGGGGGAGAAGACTTGGTCAAACAGTTCTCCTTCGACTACCATCAGGAAGTAATGAAGTCTCTGAAGGAAAGACATGATGAGCCTTCACTGTCGAGTGAATGGTTAACTGCAGTCTGGCTTCCGTACTCAAGCTTACCCATAATATGTTACTAACAGAAGTAGTAGTTACTGCTAACATTTGAGACTTGTTATGTGCCAGGTACTATTTTAAGTTGCTGCCTATGGGATTTCAGCACTTTCTCTAGTTTTGCTCTCAAGCAAATAGTATAAAAACTGACAGAACTGATAAGCTAATAATTAAACGACTCTTCGGTAAGAATTTCATCGGACGTATTTTGAGGAGTACTCCTTCGTGTTTTCTATTAATAGTTCTCTTTATCTTTTTATCTTATTCTCAAGTATCTTAGAGGTCACCTGACATGTGTTTTACCAATGAATGAATCCATTTCCAAGTATGGGACTACCAGTTATTAGATATGTTCGTTTTAATAGTGTTGTTTTAGTCAGAATCATTTACTTGGCAATCAACATACAGGATTACTATCTGAGTGTTAAGAGTAATTTTGCAGTGACCCAAAAAGCACTTGTTTAAAAAAAAAAGTCACTAATTGTGAGGCATTTCCCTCTTTCCTTAAAAAGTAAATGCTTTCAGTAAAATAAGCTCTTAATAAAATTCCCCAAGAAGAAAAAGTAACATTGAACTTGGGGATGGGATGATGGCAAATGGTTTTCAATTATTTCTTTTTCTGGTAGTTTCTAGTTTTAGTTGGGTAGACTTTCTAAACTGACCCCTTAAGCTTCTTTCCTACTTTTGTTCTCTTTCACTTTTGATTTAACTTTCTAGTTGGTAGGTTTCCCTGATTTCAGTTTCCTAACTTTATTTTTAAAGATTTTATTTATTTATTTGACACAGAGAGAGAGAGTACAAGCAGAGGGAGTGGCAGGCAGAAGCACAGGGAGAAGCAAGCTCCCCGCAGAGCAGGGAGACCAACTCAGGCCCGATCCCAGGACCCTGGGATCAAGACCCGAGCCGAAGGCAGACACTCAACCTACTGAGCCACCCAGGCACCCCAAGTTTCCTAACTTTTTATGATTTTTTCAGTTTGACTGTAACTATCATCATTTTAACTGTACCTTTAAATATAAGTCCTAAAATTTTCATGAGAGGAAAAAGATGAACTTTGGTTCAGAGACCATAGTCAATTTTGAAGTCATAAAATATTCTGAAACTTTTTTAGGGATAATTATTCACTGTTTTCACAATCTTTATTATCCTAGAAGTAGAATCAGGGGATTCCAAAGTTGATTTCCAGAGATTGCTTAAATACCTTTTTTCATCTTGCAGGTGCAGCTGAGTTGATAAAATAGGAGAAACTAAGTGATTTGCCCAAGTTTATACAGCTATCTAGTGGCAAAAGTAAGATTAGAGTCCTGACCTAAATCAAATCTCTCTGCATTATTGAATGATTCTCAAATACCCAACTTAATTTATTACTAATGCTTAAATTATAAGGCACCATATTATTTGCATCTCCATCAGTAAAAGATATTTAAAATCTACTCCCAAAACATACAACCCTACCACCAAAAATAACTTATAGAGACTTCTAGGCTGTGCCAAAGGATGGAGAGAAGGAACAGGCCCAGGAGAAAACAAAATGCTAGGAAGCATCGGGGTTGAAAATCAAGATCAACACTGGAAGAAGTGAACAAGGAATGCAGGAGGCCAAGCTGCAAACAAAAACATAAACACAGATGCCATGGGTCAACCAGTAAACGTGGAGAGAGTCCTGAGGTGGGGATAACGCGAACAGTTTCAATTACCACAAAAAAAGAAGGGTCCAGGCCAGAATCATCAATGGATAGGCAATCTAGGGGAAATTTCTGATGGGAAGAAATATGTTCGCACAGCCCAAAATTTATCTTCCCACAGAACGTTTACTGATGGTGAGATTAAAAGTCTAACTCCAGTGGAGACATCAACACCATGACTGGGGGCGGGGGGGGGTGGCGGCAGGGTGGAATTAACATCACAATAAGGGGCAGATGGACATGATGGGCCTGCAGAAGGCAAGCCCTGAAAGTATACGTCACCACCCATGCCCTATTCTGGTCTGGAATGCAAACTGTGAACCTCACAAAGAGGACACATCAGACACATCAGGCACGTGTAATACGAGAAACATTCCATTCTTTAAAAATGGGAGGGGGAGGATAGTCTTCAAAAATGTCTATGCCATAAAAGACAAAGGAAGGCTGTGGAAAAACTCCAGATTAATAGAGACAAAATAGATAGGACAATTAAATGCAATATATGACCCTAGATTGAATCCTACACTGGAGGAGAAATGCCACACAGGACACGATTGAGCCAACTGATAAAAATGAAATACAGAATGGAGAGTAGATAAAAGGCTTGTAGTCACCATATATTTACCAACGTTTCTGACTGTGATAACAAAAGACCATGAGACACAGCTTACTCTCAAATAGTTCAAGCAATTATCTGAGTGTGTGTACATAGATACGTATATACAAACACATGTATATATCTACCTCAGCATATATCCAAGGAGAGAGAAAAAGCAAATTTGGCAAGAAATTAATAGCTGGATCAATATGTTCTATATATTTTTCATATTCTTCCAACTTTTTGGTAGTCTGAAATTATTTTCAAATAAAGAAAATATTTAAGAAAAAAAGCTCAGATATTTTCATTTCTTTGGAGGGAAGAGAGGAGACAGTCAAGGTAAGAGAAACACTACAGATTAGGTCGGGGGGGTGGAGAGGAGACGGAAAAAATTAGCACACGCAATGCAAAAAAGTTCACAGTGCTTCATGTTAAATATGGATAAGTTCAAACCTAGTTAAACTCAATACACTTAAAATAGTCCCTAGGGTGGTGGGGAGATGAAACCACATCGAGGCACCGCGGACACTGGCAGAGGACACTCACCAGGCTGGCAGTGAGCGAGGGTGCCGACTGGCCCAGGGCCTGGCTGCGCATGCGCACGAGGTTGGATGTCTCCGTGGAGGCTGGCCAGGCCTGCCCTGCCACAGGGTTTGGAAGCAGGTATCTCCCTGTTGGGGTGAAAGAGAAGACAGTGTAAGTGGCAGGCAGAACATCAGCACTTCTGTGAGCATGGCAAATCTCTTCTTGACCATTCCTTCTCTACTGCTTCTATCATACTCCTTACATTTACTCATCGCAACCAGAGGAATATTGTTTTAATTAAGTCAGGGGATCCAGTCCCAAGTTCTGACCCTGATTTCCCACATACACCCAAGGAAACTTCTTCAGCTCCGGCATCGGCAGCTTTCAGCAAGGGCAGGATCAAGTATCTTGTTACATCTGCCTATTCCACAGGAACTTCTTGAGGATACATACAAATACACAAAGCATCCTCAGCATCATTGAAGTAAACCTGCACTTACAAATGGACTTTTTAAATATCTAATATGAAAAACGATCTCAAGATCAACTAGAAAAGAGTTGACAAAGTAGAGATCATGACCAACAAAAGGAAAAACTAGAATTCTGTCACGGTGAAATGGGGCTGCTGCTTCGTTCTCAAAGCTTCGCTCTCTGAAGAACTGGTGGTCACCCAACCATGTCCACAGGACACACGTGGTATCCATTCGCATACATCAGGATATCAATGTCAGACTAGGTTCACAGAGCTATTTACATCAACCTTGAACTCTAATATATGTGTATGCCTCTAACAGTCAAACAGGCGAACCAATTTGCATTACATTACTTCCTCACCACAAGGACTAAACTAGTTACCAACACACAGGAAATAAGGTTCCTTGACTTCAGGGAGTTAGGATGGACATGAATATTCATGGAGTAATGGAGCTCAGCAAAAACAGAAAACATGTTTGATTTTTATGTGTTTCACACTAATACTAGCATAATGATTGGCCATAGCAGGTGCTCATTAAGTATCCCATGAATGATTAAAGAAAAGTGCGTGCTTCTTCCCCCCCCCCCCAAAAAACACACTGGCAAAGAGAAAAGATGGCAGACAACCCATACAACCTCATTCAAGGTTGAGGGGGCGGACAGGGATCCAGCCACATTCCTCTCAGAAACATGAGGGATTGCAGCACGTGTGGCTGGGTGCCCTGTAGCAGAAGCAACATCTGGATTTTCCCCAGCAGGTCTGGTCCTTGTAAAAGAGCCTCACGCTCTTACTTCAGTCAACAAGCATAGCCCACTGGTTAATAACTGTTGCCATATATTAACTGATTTACTAGCAGTGTGCATGGTAACCACTGGCACTATCAAAGTACAGGAGCGAGCTACAGCTCCCATCACTGTCCATGTGAAAAGGTCTAATGCTTTCATCCCAGTGCTTTCAGAAATTTATATTTTAATTGCAAAGCAAACAATTACTTATTTTGCCAAAACTGCTCTTTCGTTATATTTTATAGTGAAAGCACAGACTCCAGAGAAAACGAGATTTGCTTTTGAGATCTTCATCTTGCCTTGGTGACAAATGGGGAAGGAAGTTAGCCAACCTTTCCTGGCCTTGGTTTTTCCATCTCTAAAATGGGGAGAATGGGACTGTGTAAATTGTTGAGGGGATTAAAAGAATTTTCCAAGTAAAGCGCTCAGTAAATGTTAGCTACTTAGCCATAACAGTAGTAAAAATGGTAAGTATCTTTTTCACTTAGGTTTAGTTACTTTTCACTCACAAGCAGGAAGTGTAAATATATATATAAAGGAAAAAAGTCACCTACAATCACACCAAGGAAAACCACTATCAACATTTCAGTGATTTTCTACCATGCTTTCTTTCTGTAACCTCTATTTTCTTGCAAAAATGGAATCATACTGATTTTTGTTACCTGCTCCCTCCAACCCCACAGAATAGATTATGACCTTTTCCAAACAAATACATATAGCAAATGCCAATTAATTGAAGCATAAACTCTATTACTGAAAATTCAAATATAATTACTCTCTGTGATTCTGGTCACCACCTCAAAAACATTCAGCCCTATTTTTATGCAGGAAAGGACACAGAATTGGAAGTCCAGAACTTTTTTTTTTCCTTGCCTTATTTTAAAACATCAACTAAAAGCTGGACTAAGAGGGGCGTTGGGCAATCTGCCCCCTTTAGATCCAAAAGCAGGACATTAATAAAGAAGGACAGGAGAACTATAGACTGCATTTAAGAAAACTAAAATCAGTATTACATGAATAAATGATTTAACATAGAAATAACTGTCTTTGACGGACATCATTTGTTAAAAATATACCAACCTCCAGTGATCAGAATCCATAGATTTTTTTTTCTTCTGATCCCTTCTATTTCCTGTATTTTGTGTTTTATATTTTCTTTGTTCTTATCTCAGAAAGAGGCCTGACAGAAGGTACAGAGGCTGTGTGATGTCAAGGCTTACATCATGGAGAAAATCTACTTTGGCCTCACCACTATTCTGCCCCAGATGCTTCGTTTTAAAGAAAACCAAGGGTAGATACAAAAACAGTTGAAGAATTTAATGTAGCAATGGAAAAATTTAGAGGGCAAACATTTCAGTTAACTGAATAGTTTTATATATCAGTCCTTGTTTTTTCTTTTAGAAGAAAATAATTGTTAGACTATCTCCCTATAACCCCTCCTGAGGTGAATAAATAGGTATTTATTTCTTTATCCCTAGTACCAGGTACAGTACCTGGCCCTTAGTAAGTGCTCAATAAATGTTTGTTGCCTGTAATGCAGTTAAACTACACTATTTGATCAATACTTGATCAAATATAAACAGAAAGAATAAAACTAAACAGATGATTTTCTTAAATTTCATTTGTAGCATAGCATAATAGCTAAAAATCTGTTGAGGCCTTACTATATGCCAGGCACTTCCAATATCTTAACACCACTATGGTGTACTAGGTAATATTATCTCCATTATAGGGCATACAGCTATTAAGTGGTTAAGTTATTAAGTGGAAATAGATTATATATATATATAGAGAGAGAGAGAGAGAGTCGCTGAGAAGATGGGAAATGGTAGCAGAATGGATTAAATGAGATAATGCACTTAACACACTCAACCTGGGACATGGGAAACAGTCAATACACTATCTCCACTCACATTATCATGATAACTTTTTAATTCTGTCAACATCATCCCCATGTCCACCCTAGGAACAAAACAGGGCAATGTGTTCTTAGAACACAAAGGAAATAAAGAAAAATATTTGATAATATTAAAATAAAGGCTAATATTTCTTTGTGGAAAGGATAAACAACAAATTCAGAATTATCGTTATCTCTGGCAGAGAAAATGGGGAATGGGCCTAGGGAAGAAAATGCTGTAATATTTTATTCTTTTAAAATCATATGCAGGCAATAATGGGGTCTATGAGTCGAACTTAAAAGTTTAAAGAATTTAAGTTTTCACCTGTGGCTTTAATAAATTTAATATTAATACATCTGAAGAATGTGGCAAATATTAAGCTTAGCTAAAGCTGGCTGGTGGATATATGGGTTGTAGAGAATTTCTGTATATGCTATTATATAATGTTGGTTTTAACAATTCCTATCAAAACATGTGCTCCATAATCTAATAATCTCCATAATCTAATCTGCTCCACCCAGCCAGGAGCACATTCCTTCCACCCTAAGGCCACGTCAGGGAGGGATTTGCTGATGGTGGGAACTTTCCAGTGGGTCTGGGTAAGGAAGCAAGGAGCGGGAGGAGAGGTCCCATGAAGCATCGGAGCCAAAGGGAACCATGAAGACACTTCCCACGGTCCTGGAATGAAAGTCATGGCAGGGGACATTGGGAAAGACTCCCTCTGTGCCAGTGGGAGAGCAGAATGGAAACAGGGACAGTTCTCAAATAAATCCTCGGTGTAGGAAATTCATATGCTAGGATCCTAGCTCAGGGAATCCAGCCCCGCCTCACATGGGTGGTCAGACTCAGAACAAGCACTGGGGGAGGGGCACAAGCGACAGAACCACCTCCGTTCCCTCCATTCACTCTGAAGCACTTTGAACACTTCAGTTTCATTAGCTCTCACAGGGCACTCGAAAGCAAGCAGAGACCACTACTAACAGGACCCCCATGCGTCCTCCCCTCCAAAGTCACTCTGTCTACCACCACCCCATACATTTTATGTACTACTGTACCATATGTAAGGCTCATCTTGGCAGCAAGGCCAGACATGTGCCTTATCAAAGGAAAACCAAGTGCAACACTAAAGTGATAAGGACAGATTTTAATCAGTAGTAACTACTGCATCAGGAAAAGAGAGTCCAGTGTGAACTGAGCTCACCTTCAATTTGTACACAATCACTGAGTGTTTTAGTAAGAGAATGAGGGAGTAGGGCAGGGAGCCAGTGGGGGTTCAGTCAAGAGTGAGGGAAGTGAAAAATGACACAGGGTCCTTCCATGTAACTGACCAGGCCAGCTCTGTCTGCCAGCTGGCATTTACCAAATTCAGATTCTACCCTCCCAGAGCCTGGGAGAAAGAGACCCTATCCGTTGGCCAAACAGAAAAAATTGTGACAGCCTTGAGTTTTTTCAGGCAGGCGCTTTAGGAGGACTAGGGTCATGCCAAGAAAGTTGCCTTGAGCTGTGAGAATCTATGCTAGTGTTTGTTCGTGTCTTTCTTGACCAAGTTTGAGGCCTGGTTGAGAAGGAGGGCTCAGAGGAACCTGGCTAGAGTTTGGTCAAGGAGAAACTCTCCCGTCAGGCTTCCATTCTTTTACTATGTCACCAGACCCTAACCCAAAGGAGACATTTTGATGTTCAATAATTGATCAGTTTTGGGAATTCAGTTTGAACTAAGTTTTTCAACTTAGTCCATATATTTACCTCATACAGTCTTCAAACCCAACAGGACTTTAAAACAATAAAAGTTTCCAGTTATGTTATGGTTGACTCTACAGCCTAATTGCTGAGTACCAACTCTGACCCCCAAAAACGATTCCATCACTTATTCATGAACTCCCCCAAGTCTCAGTTTCCTCAGCTGTGAAATAGGGGTAAACTTACAGGGTGTTCCTAAAATCCAAAAAGAAAAAAACATCATACAGTGGACATTCAATAACATCAACTTA